CCGAGAATTACCTTCCTCCAGCGGAGATAATTTTTGTTGCTGTTGTTGTCGCTTTTGCGGGAAGGACCCGGCCGCCAGGTCAGGCTCGCTCCGGGTCAGTGTGTTTTCTCTGACGGTCACCTCTGCAAGCAGAGCAGTCGTAGTGTCGTATTTGCAGCTCGCTGAGAAAAGAGCATTCTTAAATCTCGAGGCTTAATTCAGGGATGGGAGGAATAAAACAGGGGCTATAAAGGAACGCTTTTTTTTCCCCCTTCCCTTCTCTTTTTAGATCGATCTAGTGCCTTGGAAGTAGAGAAAAAGTTACTAAAGACAGCTTTCCAGCCAGTGCAGAGGCGGTAAGAGATGGCTCCCTCCGTCTCCCCGGGATGTATGGAGGCAGTTGTAAATGGTTAGCTTATTTTCTCCGCTTCTTTAGGTTCCCTTGCCAGGGCTGTTTCTTGTTCTTCCTCTGCGCGCGTGGTGGGTTATTCTGTTTATATATTTTCTTTGCTGTTCTCCGTTGTGGCCCCCGGGAGCGTTTCCCTGGGCAGGCCGATCTGCACTCGGGGCATTGGGGCTGCGCGGCCGCGGAGCCCGGGTGAGGGTCGCCCCTGGCCTGGGCGACCCTGAGCCCCCCGCAGATCGGACACCTCCCGCCGCTGTCGCTGTGCCGGGGGGAGAGGCACCGAGACGGCAGAAAATAGTAAAATAAAATATAAATTAAAAATTATTAATAAAAATAATAATAATATTGATATTGAAAGCGAAACAAAAAAAACCGCCCAGAGTATGAAAGCTGAAGAGGCTGAGCTTTGCCACCCCAAATTTGGCGTAGCAGTCACTCAATTTCAATGAGAAACCAATTACCCTTTTGATTGATTGAAACCACGGGGATCGAGCCGGCCGTGTTTTCGTAGCTAAATACATTTACTATAAGTCGTTCTGAAAGCTTTTTATATTTATAAATCTATTAAAATATTAACAACAACAACAAAACCAGAGCTACCTGTAGTTACAAATATTGTGCCAGCCCAAGCTCACTAGAAATCCTATTAAATTTTTTTTCTGTGTCATTTTTTCCAGGCCCCAGAACCAACTTGACGCCGCTATGGTTCTATCGGCGCTCTCATCATCATAGTTAATTTTTTATTGTTGTTGTAATGATTGTAAAAAAAAATTCTCTGTATAGTTAAAACTTGTAAGCATGTCCGTATATTCAAACTCAAAAGGAAAAAAAATACCCGCTTCTGTCCTATCACCTGGGTTAGCTGAGCTGTGAAATTTTTTTTGGAAGTCCAGTGAGAATTAGATGTCCCCCTTTTGGGTTTTTTTTGGTTTTTTTTTTTGGTTGTTGTTGTTGTTTGTTTTTGTACATACCGTAAAAAATGTACATATGTGTGAACCAAATTGTACAAGAAAGTATATATTTTTGGCTAATAAATAAACTGTTGCCACTTTGACTACACTCTCGCTTTCCCCCTTCTGGAGTTGTTTTCCTCCCGCAGTCCTGCCCTCCTCCCGGTCTGTTACTGGTTTTGCGCGGCTCCGGGTNCAGAAAACAATCCCGCCAGCTTTGATACCCCACGCCAGACGCGCGGCCACAAAAAGACGGGTCCAGTTTTGTGGGACACGCGTGTACCCCCGCACCCGCGCGTGGGGGGCACAGCCCGACTGTGACACCAGGGTGGCGAGAACAACAGCCTCAAACGGCTACGGATTTACCCCGAGGGTCATATCCGCCCCTTTTCTCTCCGAAGTAGATATTTTTAAAAGTTGTGGTCTGCACCCAAACTCTCCCCCGATCCCCTCGATGTCACGTCGCCCCAGCAGGCGCTGCCTCTACAGAAAAGTTTAAAGCACATCAGGACGTGGCGTTCGCCGCCTGTTTTCCTTCGGAGTAAAAAAGAAATAAACCTATAACTGATTTTAATATTTTTATCTCCCTTGCTTTGTACTATCAAAAGCGCCAATGTTGAATAGAAGAAAATAAATTCCTCCAACCCAGAGTTGTTTTTGCACTAGATTAGCAGATAGGAAATGCTATAAAGATGAACTTAATACGATTAGAGATGTTTCCTACAGATTTTCATATATTGATTCAGGGAATTTTAATTCTGGATCTTGCTTTGCTATAATCCGCATTTATTACAAGCTGATACAGTTTTATTATAGCAAGCTATCAAGGTCGATTCCTTTAACTGCATAATCTGACATGAATTTCATTTTTAAAGAAATGTAGTTATAAAAATCCATACTGTGGGCACAGTGGTTATATTGTACCTAAATCATATTTTAAAGGCAATAAATCCAGAGAGTATTTAGGAAGAAAGGGGAATACGGTTAAACGGCTCACATTCAGCCACAACTCCTCAAAAGATCTTCCAAACTTTTTGTTTTATTTAGAGACCGAGTATTTCAAAAAGCAGATAACGCTGGCAGGTTCAGGTCTCCTCTCCCCACAGGCTGTGTGAACTTTTTAGGTTCCAGCCCAGGCTCTTCCTCTGCCCGCAGCAGCGGAGCAGGGCACACCGGCGCTTGCCAAAGACGCGCCGTGATTGAACTGAAATTTAACTACTCTTAAAAGGCTAAATTGCAACTCACGCTGCTTTCAGAGAAGGAAAAGGGGGGGGGGCACAGCAACAACAACATCAATAACAAAATACAAACCGTAATTTAAAATGTGTGGATCATAAAAAACCCCAAACCCTATTCTGTAATTAAACCGTATCTTGACTCCTTCCCAATAGCTCCTTACAAACCCGTGCCACTGCTCCCTTTGCAAATGTTGCACGTACCAGGTACTTCCTTCTTAGCCTCGTAGTGATTCAGAACAGAGGGAATAAGCAAAATGATCATAAATTTCCTAATTAGAGATTTCGCACCAAGACAAAAAGGTGTTAATGAGTTTAATTCCAGTGCCTGTCATTGTCCCTTTTTTCACACCACTTATTTACTAATGGCCCAGAGGGCTGCTCCCGTCTCTCCTTTGTTAAGATTTTAATTTGCCTTCTTTTCTGCCTTTGATGTAAAATTGTGACCTACAACTCTTTGAAGTCCCTTATTAGGAGGAAAATTAACTTAGCTTTTCCACTGTATCTGCGCACTGTTAGTCCAGGCAAAATGTAGAGAACTCCTTAAAGATCCAGCACATTAGGAAAAATTTCCAGGTAGTTCTGGAAATGCAAATTTTAAAAAATGTAATAGACTTTTAAAACTGAATTAGAAGAGTTAACTCTCGCAAGGGCCAGAGTGGGAGAAGGGAAGAAAGTAATATCTTAATAAAAAACCAAAATTAATCTGGGCAAGGAAAGGTTGTAAATCTAAAAACCTGAAAAGGGGAACTGAGGGATGGTGTTGGTGTGAGCCTTTATTTTTAAATGTCCCAACTTTTCCCTGTCCCTCTCGTGTACTGCTCACAAATGACACCCCGGCTTCCTACGCGCTGGCGGGGGGGGCGGCTACGAAAGAAATTATATCTAAATCTACCTCCATATAATTAGAATACCATGAGGCAGGGTTAAACCTTTGTAAAACACACAACTGATTGGCGATCGCTAAAACGAGATTTGAAAGCAACTCAAATAAAAGATCGCGACGTCAGTAAACAGATTTAGAAAAAAAAAAAAGGGGGGGGAAGAAAAGCAGCTAGTGACAAACCCGGCGAGAGCGAGCTCTGGGCATGAGAGAGAGAGGGAGGCAGAGGGAGAGAGAGACTTAAAAGAAATAGGAGGGGCTTGTGAGAGACTAGAAATGTCAATCAGAGCCCAGAGTCCCAATAATCTCAGGCAATCTGTTAGGACCTGACCTGGGTCCACTCAGATCAATAGGAAAAGTGAGAGAAGAAAGAAGCGATCGGATCGTTTACCGCGGCGGCCGAGGACAGGAGGGAGC